AAGTTATTCAGTATTCTTGAACCAATTTAAAAATATAAAGGCACATTTCTCCTCAATTTTTAGAAATTCAAATCACTTTCTAAATCACGAAATTCCAAAAATAATTTTGTAGTAATACAAATGTTGCAATTGTAAAATATTAAATTTTTAAGTTAAAGCTAGAAAATGTAATATACATTTTTTCGACAGTTTTTTTTATGATTTATCTTCAGTTATAAATTTCAATTCTTCTTATGAGGCATTTTTTCGACAGTTTTTTTTACAAAAGCCCGACTTCCAAGAACAATTTTTTTCATGAACATATTAAGTTCAAATTTTTAAAACGCTAGATACCTATTTAAACAAAGAATTTATAATGATTTTACTTATTTTTTTGTAGTCAAAAAATGTCTTTCGTTGAGTTTTGATGTTTTGAAACTTTTAAGTATACTGTTATATTTATTGCTTTATAAACACAATGACATATTTTTATTAATTATTTATAATTTTACTTTCCATCCTGGTGGCGCTGGTGCCTGACTCAAAATTTAAAACCATTCATGAAGACGTTAATGTACTATATAAACGTTTTTTCAACAAACTGCCTTTTTACCCTAAACGGTCTTTGTAATTATAATATCTGGCATAGCCACTCATGTAATTCCTGGAACCCCACTATGGCGTCTAAAAAAAATCTGATCCAGTGATCTTCTCAATGATTAATAAAAATTAATTAAATAAATAAATATATTATGTATTATACTATTACTATGATATGTGCGATCACTGGATGGTTTCTGTCCACACCATATTCATGTTTTTTAAATTGTTGTGGCACATATTCTTATCATTCCTTTGGGTGTAGATTGTATATTATTCTCCAATAAAAAATAAGATTTAAAATTTAAATATTCAAAAATTAAAATCTATATTATCCTACGAATTGTATATTTGTATACATATAATAAATAATAATACTAATAGTTAGTAATTCAATTATTTCAATTTCAATTTCAATATTTATAGACACTATTATAGTATTGTATCTACCTAAAAACATTATTATTACCATTTAAATAAATGAAATAATCGATTGATATAAGAAAAAAAATTAACTGAAACATAATATTACAAAATTTTTAATTATTATGAATTTAGCCATCATATAGGGACCTACTCGGAACATATTAAAGCAATATAAAGGTAAAATATTATATATATGTACTACGATGTAAAAAGCGAATAATAAAATATCAAAAGCATCAGAGAGTTAAACATTTGTGTAATTCGGAATTCTTATACTACGTAGTACGTTGTAATGGACAAGATCGATCCGCATAGTATTATTTTCATAAGTACTTCACCATTAAAAATATCGTAATAATACTGACACGTCTTGTATATTTTTAACTTTTTAAGTCTTAATTAAGTTAATTAGAATTTATTATAGTGCCTATAGTGGACATCATTATAGATAAGAATATACTATACACGTCTAAATGAATAATAAACCTGTATTATATTATTCTATATATACCTATTACCTATATGGCTATATGTTTTATCACGATGTGGAGAAGATACACCGTGTGTTTTATATAAATAAAGTGATATACACACGAAAACGTAGTGGGGTATAGGCACCCGTACGGCACTACGGCCGTACAACACACTACACACAACACAAAAATATAAAAAAAAAATTTACAACCACCTAATTTATTGATTTCATAACATTCCTACAGTTATAATTTCTATTAGAATGTTGTGTTATACTACTATTACAATAGGGATCAATATTTGAAGGATTAATATTTGCATCCATATACATATAATAGAGTGGCCATAGGTATATGAAGTACGAAAATACGAGACTTGCGGTAAAAAAAGTCTGGTATATATATATTATTTAATTAATGTGTAATCATCATTCGCGGCCAATGACCTATGTTGTCGAGGCCTTGTTCTTTATAATAAAAAAAAATATATATATATTAATTTATGTATATAACAAAATATGCAATAATTATTACGTTATTAATATTATGATTTACCACTTTAATTAGTTATCGTCAAAAAAAAATAATAATTTATTTTAAAAAAAAGTCATAGTATATATTATACGTCATATTATACTTATATGTAACGTATAAACAAAATATAAGGTTAGACTTTAACTAAAAATGTTGGTTACCTATATTTTAAGGGGGTTGACAGCGCACTATTTAAATAGTTGTTCAAATAATTGTTTTCTCTCTCTGGCCCACTCGTAACATAGACAAAACGCATTTACGCATTTACGCAGGATCGTTTTTTCTATTTTTAGATTCTGAGCGGAGCGATATACCTAACCTGCAAGGGCGTCTGTCTTATATGGGATAAGGGCACAAACAAAAAGTTCAAAATTCAAATTAGCGTATATGGGGAGTTAGAAATATAAAATATCTCATATTTTTCATCTCATTAAATATTATCATAATTCATATTATTCTTAACCAAAGAATCAAAATACACGTGTGATAAAAACATAAAATTTTATCGGAAAAATGTATAGTAATTAATAAAACATATACAACTAAAAGCAATTTATTGTTGTAGCCTTGTAGCTATATATATTTTTTGTTTATTTCTGGATGTAATGTATACTAAGCAATGCTAATCCATTCAATCGATTTTCTCCCATAGTTGATCTGAGGTAAGTTTTGATTCTCTTAAGCGAAGAAAATGACCTTTCAGATGTGCATGTTGTCACAGGAATTGTTGCAAATAGCATTAAAAGTCTTTTGATGTTTGAATAAAAATTCACTAGTGGTAAAAATATTGTTTCTATTGCAGCGGACTCATCTACTGGTTTTTCTTTCCATATTGCATAACAGGTTTTCAATTCTCCTCCAACTCATTAAAAGCACCTGCAGGTAAATCAATTGTAAACAATAATGCTACATCCAACATTTATGAAACTTCAATATTGTTACAATAATTAGGTGTGAAGCCTTTTTAGTTTAAAATCTGTGTTTAATTTCAGTTAACAATGCATCTAAGTATAATGGATAATAAATAGAAACTCTATAATAATTCTCGCGTGTGTTTGATCTTAAAGAAATATTTAAGCGGTTACACTGTTTATTTGCTATTCGTGATATCTTGACTTCAATTTTAAATTTATTAGCCAAATCTTCTGATTTTTTAAAAATATCTTTAAAGTCATTTTCATTACCTACGTTTATTTTTCAAAACAGTTAAAGCAGATTGTATTAAAGATTGTGCTTCAGATATATCAAAAGTTGGAGACTGCAGCAGGGCCGTATTTAGGGGGGAGCTACAGGGTACTGTTGCCCCAGGCGGCTGAGTAGGCTTAAAATGGATTTTAACATGAACAAAAATGTGGGTATTCACATTTTTCGTATGGATTCAAATAAATATAATTAAAACAAATGGCAGACTTTTATTTCATACCTACCAGATAATATAAATTATATTCATGAAAATACAAAATAAATAGTTATTTTATGCAAATTAGCAAAACATAGTACCAAAACTTAAAAATTAGCAGTTGAAATACGCAAAAAATAGCAATAAAATTTTATATTTGGAGTCTACGATGCATACGACAAATTTATAGCTCACTCTGCTATTTTTATCCGTATCCCATAATGATTAGTAAATGCTATAAAATCCGAACCCAACAGGTTATCATAATAATGTAGCAAAAACAATATTACCTATTCTTCAAGTGCATAATAAAAATTAAATATCAATAAATATATTATTTTATTATAATATAATATAAATATTTTATATACAAATAATATATTGTTAAAGATTATTAATCGTCATAATAAAAATACCTTCAGGCAGTTAAAAAAATAAATATATAAGCTACATACATATAGAATAGTTGTATTTTAATAACTACCTACCGGATGCAAATTTTTCACAAATCATTCTTAAAGCTTCTTAAATTTTTTCCACACCATTACCTCATGAGTTATGGGCCAATGAAAAAATATTATGTACATATAAGGATAGGGGCTTTCCACTTTTGGCCCAATTGATTGTGTCTTGGTGGATGGGGGGATATATGCATGCAGGGACTTTAACTCTTTTAAAAGTTATAGTAGTATTTAGTAGGTACTAAGCATATTAATTTAATTGTTAAAGCAAAACTTTGAAATGCTTGAACGAGGTAAGTCGGGGAGCTGTCCCGTCTGCCTCCCACGTATGTATTAATATTTGATACTGTCAATAAACGATGGTGCCGCCGCGGAAGCAATGCGAAAGCAGATCCCGCGGCGTCGTCGGTTAAAACGGGGGGRAAAAAAAAAAAGGTACTAAGCATATATCATTTTTAGAAACCACTATGGTAGGAGGCATTATGAGTCTCTTCAAAAAAATTGGATTAGAAATATTTCATCATCCGTACAAAAAATAATTTAATAAATATAAATGTATAGTAATTAATAAGCAAGTTCATAAAAATGAAAATGGGGTGAGAATCAACCTGTGTGTAATTTACATATATGCATTGATGTGTTAATTTTATCAATAAGCTCTGGACATTATTGTTACTAATCGCTTATGTACAAATCTGTAACCTGTTGTGTATAGTACTATAAAGTTTAAAATGTATTATATTAAATAAAAAACTACTCAAACACTAATCTAAATTATAGATTCTACTAAAGTAGTATAGTAGTACTCTAAACTATAGAGATATATTGTTAATTTATATTACCATCTCACCGTTTTTCATCATCACAAACCTATTAAAACCTAATAATTTTACTCATGAATATACATTGAAAAATTAAACATATAAACTAAGTATAAAAATTACAACAAAATTCTTCTTAGCCCTTATTGTTTCTCTAAAATAGAATTGGTGTTCTATATTTGTTATAATTTATTGCTCAAAAAACAATATTGACACATAAAGAATTATAGTATTTTAGGTACTCATATTTATTTTCAAACTTAAAATTATATAAACGACAAAATATAATTAAGAGTTTTTTTTTTTATAGATAAATAATAAAAAAATAAGTGAATAAAAATAAAAAATAAATGTATAAAAAGGGTTTAAATTAAACCCAAAGTTGAAGACCACTGTAGGCTAGACATAAAATTTGATGGTCGGTAGCAATATCTAACAGACAATCAATCTAAATATAAAAAAACAAACTTAATTCAATATTAACTATTCATATTTTTAAAACTAATAAATCAAATTAATCTACACATATTACATAATATAATAAATATTTGAATAAAGTTAATTATATACCTGTTGATTATGTGTGATATTACACTTTTGTAGTTTTGACCTTTTGAATGTATTGTTTTGAGAATCACTTTTAAGTATGTTAAGCAATGCTTGTTTGTAATCGTTTGGTATACAAGAAATTTCAAGCTCATGACATAATACTTCAATAGGATTAATGCCATTCATTTTGTCCTTGCCAGAGAGTATTTTTTTTTTAGGAAACCATTGTATTTCTTTAGAGTTAAAGTCACCATCAATTCTTAAGGTTTCAATTTTGGCCATTTTTACCCAGTCTGCAGAAGGATCATTAATAAAGACTTGCATCACTGATAGTAACATTTCTCGGTTATCAATTAATGTTTTTAATGTATGCACCATAGTTTCTCGAATAAAACCTTAAAATGGTAATTGTTATTTAATATTTAAAAACTTAATTATAATTATATGTAATACATCTGCCAACAAACCTGTTAAGTTTAGCGGTGACATTAAGGAAACAATATGAGGTGACATCCTAAATGGTATCAATTCAGGTATTATTTGTATACTAGTTGCTGTATGAAATGCAAAATTGAAATCAATCCCTAAAATAATTAAAAAAGTTTAAAAACACAAAAATATAAATAGTTAATTATTTTATATTATAAGCAAATTATTAGAATAGTATGTTAATTGTAATTATATGGTGTTTATAATTGAGCCAAGAGTTCAAGACTTATATTATATTACCAATGCAAAATCCCGTTTTTGTTGAAACAATTGTGTTATCTAGATGTCTATCACCGATTCCTAACAACCAATGACAAATTGATAGAACTGAGAAACTGGTAATAAATTTTGATCTCAAGCAAATATACATTTCAGCACAATGACATAAGTTGAATAAAGATTTCCTAAAAATAAATTACTGTTTTAATATCACATAAAAATATTTGATTACATAAAAAAATACACAAAAATAATATTAAGGCTTTCACAGAAAACCATAGGAGTATATTTTTATTATCTTAGATCTAACTTGACAAAGCAAATTACCTTAATATATCATCAGGTATTGATTGGACAAGCTGTTTAAATTTTGCAACAGTAACCATACTATTGTTATTTATAGTTGCTTGTGCATAGACAACCAGCTTGTTTGATGAAACAGACTTTTCAGACAGCCAACGATAATGTTCAACAACTTTAGAATGTCTAAAAATAATATAATTTAAAGTATAGTATTTTGTCCAAATATTATATTTAGAAGACATTTGCTGTCTCAGTCATACAAGTATGTAACATACCAAATTTACACTTATCAGATCATGTTTAGCTCCGTTAATTTAAAACTAAGAGTAAATCAAATTATTATGAAATATGACGGTAACATATTTCTATGTTTTTATGTGGGGTTTTTTTTATGATAGTCCAATTTTAAAGTGAGTTTTTAACATTTTTTATTTATGTAATATTATACACGCATTACTTGTTAAAAATTGAAAAACCACAGGTAATGTTCTTACCAGCAAGTTTCGTAATAGATCAAATTCCTCTAATTTTTAAACTAATGAGGTTAAATGCCATTTGCTGAGTGTAATTTTGGTATGTCCTACACTCAAGGACATAGCCAGAAAAATATTTCGGGGGGTTAGAATATAAATTTTATATTATGTAATAAAATATGAAATTATAAAAATATTATTTAAATTAAGAACAAACATTTTTTTTTTTAAATTTCGGTAGGTAACTACATACATTATCTTATATTTCTACATTAATAATTATAATTCATTATATTTCAGTATACAATTTAAATAAATATATATATAAAAAAATAATATAAAAAAATAATTTAAATTATGAACATGACATTTTTTAAAATTTTTTTTTTTATATATATATTTATTTAACTTGTATACTAAAGTATAATGAATTATAATAATTAATGTAGAAATATAAGATAATGTGCATAGAGTTACCTACCGAAATTAAAAAAAAAATATCATGTTCTTAATTAAAATAATATTTTTATAATTTCATATTCATTTTCAACCAGATTTTTTATGGTATAAATTATTTGAATGCAATGGAAAGTTTCCAACGCATTTTTCCAGTTTGAAAAACTGTTTAAAACCAGAGCCCCTAATTTATTATGATTTCCTTTTCCTGCTCATTCTCTAACAAAAACTACACAGTATTTGCACAAAATGCCATTTAATAGATCTGAGTAGTTTAACCATGAATCCTGGTCCATCCAATGACGTTGAAATCGCAAATTTTGTTTTCCACTCACAAGAAACTTATAACATTTGGAGGACACTAAGGGTTGTTTAATAATTGTTCTTTGATACTCAACTCACTAATACTAGCACTTACACTTTTCCAATATCAAGCATACTAAAAGATTTAACCGCTTCTAACTTATTTTACTGACCTTTACTTCCAAATGATTGTTAGAACTTATAATTTCTAAGCTGTCAATTTAACGTTTTTTTTTTGATTTTGGCTCGGTAAAAATAGTAATAATTAAGATTAGATACTGTAGGTATTATGTGAGCTATACATTAGGTTTAAAGAAAGTACATTAAGATTAGTTATCGCTTATTTAACACAATATAAATATAAAATATACCGTTTTATTTATTTATGTGTTTTAATAACAGTGACACGTACGTATCTGATGTAAAGTTTCAAATATAATAGGCATTTAAAAAAAAACTATTCAAACTATTTAATATTATTTCAAAAAAAAATTTCGAGGGGAGGTCTGAACCCTACCCCCCTGGCTACGGCCTTGCCCACACTAGAAAGGCAAAGACTACAAATGGTTGTGTAGTATACTCTAAGACATTAGCACTTACAATTGTTTTATACCAACTTCTTTACCACCAGGAAAAGATTCACAAATTAAATCTTTTAATGTAACTGTATTATTAATCCATTCAATCATACCCAATTTTGTTGATATTGGAAATACCTAAAATAGTTATTTTTAGTATTTCTAGTTTTAACAACTTACAAAAAACTAAATAATATCTTACAATATAAGTTAAAAGTGATAATTGTCTGTCACAACAATAAGCATTGTTTGACAATGCATCATTTATTATTTTATGTAATTGTTGAATTCGTTGGTCTTGCCTTAAATCTTCTCCGAATTTGATCAAGAAACTATATTTTTCTCCATTGTTTCCTATCATGATGATTTTAATTGGATTTCTCAATGAAAAAATTACTTGAACCTTAAATTTAAAAAAAAAAAAATATTTAAATCATTTCTATTATAAAACTAATTTAAGAATTTTACATTTGGTTTAAATGATGCAATAGTAATATKATTGTCAACATTAGGTTTTTTTATTCCAGAATACTGTCCTGGAATTTCAATAGTGTCTATATTATGATTAGAATACTGAGCTAACCACGGACAATAATTAATTAAATGAGTAGATGGTTTTTTACAGTAGTATTCTTTTTTTTGACTATCTACTTGTTTTTTAATTTCTGTTAATGCTGTACAAACATTATTTAAATTGGAATTAGATAATTGGAACTCTTCTGTAAATATGAAAAAATGTAAAATTAAAAAAATAGTTTACAAAGTCATATTATATTGTATAAATTATAAATATTCAAGTAACTTACCAAAAATTAATTTAAGATTATCTTTAAATATATCCAATGCCTTAAATGCATTTCCTTTGAATTGTTGGTTTTCTTCGGTAATAAAACAGTTCTTAAATACATTTTCAAATGCCAATTTAATCACATTCAAACAATTAGTTTTTATACTCTCTTGCACATCATTTATATATTCTAAGAGCTGAGTAAATGGACAACAAACATTATTTATAGCTTTTACAAACATATCCAAATAAATATCAGATATTAATGGAATGAGTCTGCAAAATAAAATGTATACATTTCCTGAGTAAATATTATTTTTCATTAAACAACTTTGAGATAGTATGCCTATTTTAATAGGATTTAATTTGATTAATGAATTAGAGAATATACCAGTCAATTAACTGACAATTAACTTTATCCTAATCGAAGTCTTTGTTCATAACTGTAATTTTAATTGTTATGAGATAGTCAGTTATAGTTTAGTTTGTGGTGTACACATGTGATAACATTATTCTGTTAGTCAAAATGATTATATTATTTTGTACCGGTAATACGTATGCCGTGCACTAAACTATTGAACCAAATTCACATAAAAGGCATTTTAATAATACATCTATCATTTTAAATATTAAATTATTATTATTTTAAAAAAGTCTTCTCTTTTGCCTTTAAATCCAACCCTACTAATAAATATAGAAACAATTACTCTACACTATAATTAAATAATAATAAATTAATTAGAACAACATACTTTGCTTTCAARAATGTTTCACAATCTTCATTATTATACACATTTCTTTCCATAAAAATGTTCAAAGGTAAATGAATAGCCTTAGGATAAACTTGACATAAACGAATTAAAAGTGGACCAATTACATTAATTAGAGGAGAATCCAAACAACCTAAAATCTGATTTATCCATTCCAGGAACATATACTCTGGAACATTTTGATTCTAAACATACAATCAATGGTTATACAATTAAATATTATTCAATGTTTAAGTTAGACAATATAAAATACTTCTGAAATGAATGTTTCTTTTAATGAAAAGTCAGATAGATTTTCAAACTGTAATATAATAGGAAATAATTCCGATGCTTTTTTAGAACCATATTTCATTGCTTTTAAAACAGATTCTATAAATAACACACATTTCTGATTGTCTTCAGTGCTTTCTGTAAGTATACAATGTTGAATGTAACTATATAAGTGTACATGGTTTATTAAATGCAAATAATCTTTTTTTTTAGCATCAATAATTTGTTAAAATTATATATGTATTGAACACTTAATATTCATATTTATAAGTTATGTTAATTGAGTAATTATTTCCATAGTTCCATACATGTGTGTAGCTAAGGATTTTATAAGGGAGATGTTACTCAAAATAAATTTACAAAATTATACACATCAAGTCAATATAGTAAGTAAGAAAGGGATCTTTGATCACTTGCTGCCATCACTGGTAAATAAATCAATATTAATATAATTCAATGAACACTGAATTTTAGAGATTATTTCTTCATTACATTGAAAGCTTCCATAGAATTTTTAGGAGTTTTATTTTTTTAAACTTTTTATACAATGATGTAAAACAAATTCATCAATGTAAATAATGTATGAAAAAATAAGTTAATCTTAAACTGTGCATAAAATAATCCCATAACAGTAAATGAGAAGCTGAGTACCAGATTTACATTATTGTTGTCGTTGTATATATTTTGCGATCATAAATATGTATACATCACGGTTTATGATGAACCTTAATAAATTAATAAACATAAGTAATATATTTTGGAGAGAGGCGTCAATATACTTGTAACACCTCCTGAGTACAAGCCTGCTTCCATAAACAATAAAGTAATGATAAATATCAAGTTAAAATATTTAATCTATTTAACTACATACAGATTTATAGAATTATGGAATAAATAATATAAATAATTTAAATCTTAGTACTTGTGTTGTACATACTTTTAAGATTTAATTCTTCTAAACAATATTGAGCTAACATTAAGTGAGAATCAATAATTGTTTTAGTACATAAACTACTATTAAAAGCAATTTGTGTACAATTTTTTAAGTGTTGTATAATAGTATAGTCAATATGTTGTACAACTTCATTAAGGCTTCTGTAAACATAAAAAATGTGAATAAAATAATATATAAAAAAACAATATTAAAAATAACCTACCCAAAATGTATGTTGCTTTTTATTTTACTAATTATTTCTAATAATATATTTTTTGATAACAAACTAATATCTTGTATTTCATGTAAAACATGAGCTATATTTTTAGAAATATTTGCTATATGAAAATTAGTTTTTAATAAACAAATTGGAGAACACTGTTCTTTGATTATATTATCTAAAATTAAAAACAATACAATAGAGTTATACATCTGATATTATGTATTAATATATTTTGTTATAGTAAATATTACCTAATTCTGACCAAGAATTTAAATAATATAGCTCATGTTTTACATGAAATACAAGATATTTTAAATAATATTGAAGTTTTTTTTCTTTATCAATTGTATAACAACTAGACATAGCTAATATTTTACTACGGCATAATATAAAATCAGATGTCCAATTTTCAGTATTCTGAAATAAATGTATATTAATTTTAAAATATAATTTTGAGAAATCGTTTGAATATGTTTACTTCGAGTCTAAATTCATTAATATATTTTTTAGCAACATAAAAATTATTTTGATTAATAGCGCTTTCAATTAAAGCTAACATTGATTCCACTTCATAATTGTTTAAAATTTGTTTGAAACAACATTTTTCTTCGGATGGTAATTCTTCTATATCTGTCTTAATCTTATTTAAGAAAATTGATCTGTTGAAATGAATGTGATGTTGTTACTGTTATATTAATTTATGATTAATAGATACATAAATAGTATTTAATTGTAACCTGTTAATCATTTTGGTATCCCATAATAGTAATGAGTCAGAATCTGTAGGTAGTTGTGATTGCCATGTTTGAATTTGTCTTTTAATGATCTTGGTATTGTCATCAGATTGAATCGAAGATAATTTTGTGAAATACTAAAAATTTACTTAAAATTAATTTACAATCAACATAAAATGAATTGATAATCTCACATAGATTTCTGAGAGTGTTTGTAAATTTAATAATTTATCAACCCGTAGTTTATAATATTGAGGTGATATGTTCTCCCATTCTTTAAGAAAATTGCGCATTCCAAGCTTACACCATAGCTGTGCTTTGTTCAAATCATCACAACATAAAAATATCATACAAGCTTGAGCTGGTACACGTGTCTATAACATTTAATTAATTATGGTAAATTTTAAATATACATTTTAAAAACATTTACTAATATAAAATAAAATGCATATCAAAAATATATTACCAATATATATTCTTCTTTATTTCTATCATTTAACCAATTGCTAAATGTCTCTATAAATTTACCATCAGATATGTCAAGTATTTCATTTAATTCTGAATGTAAAATTCTATGTAAAAGATGGTATTTATACCTATAATTTTATAACACAAATTTCAAACGTTTAAAAATTTAAAATAGCTAATAATGAAAATATATAACATATAAATACAATAATATCTATTTCTTTAAGTTGTAGCTTGTGATGCAGTGGAGAGTTAACTTTTAACAATCAAAGGTTGAATCAATATAAATTAAAATTAAAATAGCAAAGAAAGAATACAGTTTAGACATAAGAAAACCAACAAAAGCTTTAAGTTAGTAGTATTAGTTTAGGATTAATACTTACCAATTATTGTCCCAAATTTTCTCATAATTTTCTCCAGTTTGAGATTTTAACATTTTGTTGATTTCTTTCCAATCAGATAAATTCTCTGAGCACTAAAACGAAATCATGGAAAAAAATTAATTAGGTACAGGTTATTATTTTATGATTTGTTACTATAAGGAAAATATTTTAATACTTTATAATATTCTTCAAACAAAAAATCTTTATCACTTTCTAAAATTAGATTTTCATCATCACATTCTAATACTGATTTAAACTTTATTTGAGCAATTCGCCAATCATGAGATTGTTCAGCTTTTAATGCTTCTTTTAATGAATCACATGATAAATTATTAATTTTTTCTTGAAATATACCTTCGACAACATCTAATTCACCCATATTTTTGTATATCCTTTGGAAAAATAAAAGCTTAATTTTTTGATGAGTAAAATATATATATATACTTACTCGGCTAATTTTTTCCAATCATTGTCAAGGCATTTGTATGTAATTTTAGATTTTTTTTCAATGTGTTGATCTACTTGTTTTGACTGTAAGTAATTTATTGATGTTTCTACAACTAATGCTCCCAATGACATTAAACCACATGATGTTGCAACTAATGAATAGATGCAAATGTTAAAAATAGTTCATTCTTAAAGATAGAAAATACACTTACCTTCAGTTACAGCATTTGGATCTAAATTAATTTGGGTAGGATAACAGTATGCTGTATCCAAGATAAAGCCCACAAGACTAGGATTACAATGACTGTGGTTTATCATAGTAGTTAAAGATTTATTCAAACTTTCAAAATATTGCTGATTCATTTTTAAATTATTTTTCAATCCGCACATGATTGATGATGAAATTATTCTTGCTATATTATTATCCCTCTAAAAAATTAATTAATATTAACATTTTAGTTTTTACACTATTTAATGCCAAGAAAAGAAAATTATGTTATACCAATAATAATTCATTTATTAGGCAAGAGCTGTTCTAATTTATAGATTTTAAAATATAGAATCTATGTCATAATTATGTTTTTAAAATAAAAAAATGTTTCTCAATATATTAGGAAAGTAGTGAGACTCCTTCAATGTATTAAAATAAAAATGTAATACAAATTAATAATATTGATTTCTTAAGAGAATCTATGTTACGTCAGGATCAGGATTTTATTTAATGATACTTACTTTGGATAATTCAATCAATGGCTTAATTACAGATGCATTTGTAATTTCAATATCAGGAAAATCCCCAATCCTATATTTTCTATACATATGAACAGATGATTCACGTTTCTGTGCTCTTTCTTTCTTAAATATTTCACGCTTAACATTTATTTGTACATTTTTCATTGCAAAATGTTTACTTAATACTGATTTATCACGTAATATTCGTATTTTTTTTTTCTGTATAAAATCTGATTTGGAATTTAGTACATTACCTAAAAAATAATAATTGTCTAGTTTAAATTATAAACTTTAAATCTAATATTGTATATATTACAATAATTATACAATGTACAGTATATGATTTCATTATTATTAAAATGCAAAACACTATGATAGAAAATTATAAATCTAATTAAAATTTAGAATTTATAAAAAATATACCCGAATTATGATTCCAGTTTTGCTGATTTACATCCAAAGTAGATATGTTTATTTCATTCAATGACATTTGAGAATAATACTTTAAAGATGAAATATTATCAGTTATTTGAGTTTGAACAAAAGTGGGTTGAAACTGTAAAGTCATTGTATTTTTTAATTGGAATTTTTGTATAATATTAGATTCGCAATGCTCAAGTGTATTTGAACGATTAAGTTGGCCAACTATGGTGTCAGCATATTTCGGAAATGTAGACATATGTTTTGCACGCCATGATGCTGTTAAATTGTAATCTTCAAATTCACAAGCATGCAGAGGATATTGAAATATTTTTTGATCGTAATCTGAAGACGTGCAACATGATTCTAGAAGTATGCTAACAAAGTTTCCTAAAAAATGTGATTCAATGTCTGGTGAATAGAGTTGATCCAAAAGAATTAGTAAACGATCAACACATTTCAGTGGTAATCTTTTATCATCTGCCCAAAATCTAATTAATAAAAAAAAAAAATGATTAATTCAATTTTTGTTATTTAATCGTATTTTTGATTTTGCCAACCTAAATACGTTTTGTCTAAGTTCATCATCATTGTCCATTAGACCATTTAATAAAACCTTTTTACATTCTTCTGTAATTTGTTTTGAAATATCAGCATTATTTCCTCTGTACAATTAAAGCACCATTAATAAATATTATTAATTAAAATACATCTATATAAAATATAATAATTMTTTAACTCACAAGTAAATTTCATAAGTGKTAAACATAATATCATAAACCAACTTTCTGTGATTATTATTATATTGTTGTGAAATTTCAGCAATTATTTTTATTAATATCATGACATTTTCAGCATGAATAATTGGTATAAGTTGTAAAGTAATGTTTAAACATATTAGTTGATCATCAGTTCCACTAAATATTAAGTAAAATGGTTTAAGTATTAGGTATTTTCAATTTCAAAATTTCAAATTCCTTAAAAGTTACAATTATTTATACCATACAAAATATTTTTTTTATTCATCAAAATTGTTAATAGAAAATATGAACTATGATTTTTAAACAATTAACAAATAATTAGTACATAGGTGATAGGTAACTAATAAAGCTAGGACTTAAATGTTCAATGCCCAAGGAATATCAAGAAAATGTCTTTAAAAAATACATTTATGACCTTACAGTTTTTAAAAATGCCCTTTCAAAAAATTGAAGAGGTTAGATCAATGTAACACGTTTGATCCTACTTTAACAGTTTCCAAAAAAAATAATTAAATAAACGATTGGGCAAAGATGATAATATGTAAGATGATTTAATTTATACAACTGTCAACTTTGGGTTTTAGAAGGTTTATAATACAAAACAAAAACTTAATTTTAGTTTTAGAATAAGGTTTTATAGAAGAAACTGTGAAAATAAAGAACATCATAATCAAGATTAAGAATAAGGTATCTAGGTTATAGCATAGCAGTTGAAGATAATATTAAGGTATCATTTAAGAATTATTATAATATATTTTGTATTTTTCTTATTAATAATGTATGTAATATGTATTTATAATAKTATAAATTTTCATATTTTTTTATTACATAATAAATATTTATATTTTTTAGTTTTATAAATATATATAATTCTGATTCCTGGTGATTTGAAATAAATAAATAATAATTTTATGCACAAATTGTACATAGTTTTTAAAATGAAAAAAAAAACATACTTGTCTTTTAGCATGTTGAAAAATCCATTTATTTCTGCTATTTTTTCATATGGATTATTAATTAAGGCCAATCTATTCAGAATCATTTCTAAACATTGAGTTCGATGAATACCTTGTAGTTTCTCAAAAATATGAAATAAATCATCCAGATAACTTAAACAAAATTTAAATACAAAAAAAACATATTAAGATTAACACATATTGTTTAAAAAAGTATTAACCTATGAATAATTATAATAATATCTTTTATTTTGCAAACTAAATATAAACATATTGATATTGATATTTTTTAAATTAAAATAATTTATTATTTTTATCTAAAATAAGAAAAATGTGAAATAATAACTGTAATATATAATACAAATATTTATTACTTGTCTATAATCTTTGAGTAATGCTTATGAATGTAATACAGACAACTTAAAAGTTTTGTTGTATCCATGTTTTCAGAAAATATTAAAACCGAAGACAGACATTGCAACAGTTCCATTTCATTTATTGAATTTTCATAACAGATTCTGTGAAAAAAAAATACATTTATAAAACAGATTAATTACATTTAGTAAAACATTCTAATAATTACTTCAATAGCATCCCAAATATCTCCGAACTAAGTAAATAAATAATTTGGTTGTTATGGTTTAAGCTTCCCGTAAGCAAATTCAGAAAACTATAAATAACAATTTAATTATAAAAAAAAATAATTAATTAACAAATAAAAAATTGATTGACATAATGATTACCATTTTTTATTTGATTCATTGAATGGTATAATACCATTTGCAGATAAGATTCCAATTAAATGCAAACCACATTCTAATGATTTGTTATTTATTGGATTTGGTTTTAATAAAGATAAAAGTTCATCATAATCCATTTCTAGTGAATATTTCCAATTTTCAACAATAAATCTACAAAAAGATACATTATATAATACAATTATTTTGATCAAATAAATTTTTAATATAGCTGTAGCAAATATAATATTAATTCTAAAATTTTTGATTTTTCTTATAGTTTAACTTGGCTTATATTATAATATATGTATTCAAAAATTATACCAATAAAAGCAATGACGTTTTTACAGTCAATATTTTATTTGATAATATTTAACAACTTAAATCTGAATTTGGCTAATGTGAATAAAAACTATTAAGTAGTGGATAAGCAGTAACATGCATAGTATTCACATCTTTTTAAGGAAATATTTGTCATTGCTAAACATATGATGACATAAGTGGGACGTAAATATAAGCCTTGTTCAAAAATGAACATTTTTTTTTCTTCAATTTTTTATTTCTTATCTGCTCCTTAAAGGATTAAAGATGACAAAAATAGTAAAGAAATGTTAATATGAGAAGTGGCTCACCTACTCAGAGGGATTTGCGCCATAAGTTTTAAGCAACATATCCAGCAAATTGAGATATATTTAGAATAATTTTTTTTTATTATTATTGAAAAATTGCTAAATTTACAATTTATACAAATGAGCATAATAATTAATAAGTAAATTAAATTAACAAATATAATATGAATATTGGCTTGAATGATTCGAGACTTGAGGGGGAGGAACTCTTCAGAAACAGTATCTCTTAATTTGATGGAAACCCGTTTTTTTTTAAATTTATTATTTTTCTTATTATATAAATAAGAATGTCTTTTGGCCAGTCTTTATGGTGGGTAGTTGAAAATGGTGTTAAATGTCACAAGGGATAATAGTTGGTACGGGTTTGAGTAAAGTTTGGAATGAAATTATTGGTTTAAAATTTGTAAATAAAATTTGTAAATACTAATTTAATACTGGTTTGTCTAACTCATCAAACACATTAATGGTCTTTGTAACATGTACTATTTTAATATAATTAAATATTACTAATAGTAGTAAATATAAAATAGCAAAAAGTGATTAAAATTTCTAACTATATTAATATATTACTAAATTTTTAAATATTTTTTTAATAAATACAGTAAAACTTCTATTAATGAATGCCTATATGGCTGTATTTAATAGATGGCTCATCAAGTAATCATCAGTAATCAGTATTCATTATATAGAAGTTATACTATGTTAAATATTACATAAATATATAAAACCAAATAAATCAGTTTTTAACAAGATTAGGGATATATATACATAATTCTTAAATATTAAGCATGTCCTAGGTTAATACATAACTCAAACTTTTTACATGCATTTAATATCTATAATATTATTGGTTAAATATAATATATATATATATATATATATATCTGTTTATGTACAAATTATAATACAAATCAGAGTAAATAAGTTTTTATGGAATAAATATATTTACTTGATGAATTCCATGTTGTGCTTAAATACATTTTTTATTTCACTTTGGGAAACTGACAAAAGAAAACTTAATAACTTTTTAGCAAGGAGTTTCTCATATTCTGTGGACGGAACTGCAATATTATGCCATGAAACAAGCGTTGATACCTAAAAAAATATAAATTTTTGAATAGATTTATTAAAAGTATCAACCGTATAAATAAAAGAATTTAAGTATTACCACATCAGTTATAAAATAATTTAAATTATTCCCAAGATGTTTATCTAATACAAATTGCATTAAAGGACCGAGCCAGTGTTTTGCATATGGTTCGAAATTAGTTTCACAGTTGACTATCAATTTTATAAGCAATATTTTTGAATTAATTGTGTCTATTGATTTATCACAGAATACTAATTTTAAATTATTCATCCAATCTGGCATTTCCATATTAGGCTAAGATATAAGCAATACAATTCTGATAATTAATGTATACATATATTAAAATACATATTATATAATAAATTGTATAACAGTTTTGAAAAATGTCTATTTTGATAATAAGTAATAAATAATATATATTTATTTTAATTAATCATTAACTTAAGTTTTAGTAAGATATAAGAGAAGTAAAAATTAAGCCTAATAAATAGTCTAATAGTTCTATAAAAAATCTATTACTTTCATTGCACTGTCAATCATGTTTTCTGAAGTTAAGTATTTTATAACGGCACACAAATGTGCCATACATTCATGATTATTGAAATTGTCCATTTCCAGTTCAACACTCAACATTTTATAAAGGGATTGAGTCTATTAACAAATATAAAAATATTTTAATTTCAAACAAAGTTCACAAAGTTTTTTTTTAAACATTATTTTAGTACATTCGACGATGAACAATCTTCAATGAAGTTTGATCTTAAATAAGAATTATTATAATCATAGCTTCCTAAATCTTCCACAAGTGTATTTTTTAAATGACTATTCAAATCAATATATACTTCAGGTATATTCTGATTGGATTTTGTTCTAATGTTAACTAGTTTTTTTTTCCGTTCTGGTATCTAAAAAATATTAACAATTAACTTTAAAATCATAAAATTAATAATACTTGAATACTCTTAATTATTATTATACCATTTCAAAATCTATAGGAAATTCATAACGCATAGTACAATCTACTAAATTTCTCCAAATAAATTGTTTTGGTGGACGTTCATTAAACAAAAATATTGTGTATTTGTTCAAATCATCTTCGGTATTGCTAATAATAGTGATTAGTGCATTATATGAATAACAATGTAACCGTCTAAACAAATGTTTTATTTCATTAGATCCTTTTGTGTAATCAACATTACTAAAACGAACTTTCACAGCACTACAGACAAATAAATTACAAGTATTAACTAATATAGATTATTTTTTTTGTAACATTACATAAATAAACTTACGCAGTTCTAAACTGAGTTATTAAATTTTTGGATTGGCTTCCATTATATGTGTATGGTATAGTACAACCATCATTAAGTTCTATGTTGGTAAAGAACTTGAATATCTCTTCTATAAGCTTAAAACAAACTATTTTTGATATTAATAAATGTCGTGCCTAAAATAAAAATAATATTATCACATTGAATTTAGATTAAAATTTAAAATACAAATATTGTTGGCTTCTCATTCCAATAGTTAAAAATGTTACTAAAACTCTATACAAATCTTCAATTTTAAACTAGTAAACCACCGAAAGCCAATCATTCAAAACCTCTTTTCCCAAACAATCCCAGGTGACCGTGGCCGACGTTTAAAGCATAGCTGGTGCCGTGACTAGTCAGATAGTTAACTAACCACTATAACCCACGCCATGAAATACTATTATTGAATAGTTTTTTCAATTAAGTCAACTAAGCTCTTTTATATATCTAGGATATAAGGATAGGCTAACTCAAGGTATTAACATATTATTGGATACATGATAATTTAACAGTTAATTTATAAATTGTATAATAAATTAAATGATTATAAACAAATTACTTTTCCACTGTCATTTGCCAAAAGATTTTCATTTACTGTCTTCAAAATAAAATCAATTATATCAGTATAGACTTTTGTAATTACATTTTTTCTACAAAAAGACATTATGGGGATTAAGAAAATATTAGCAATCATCTCTCTTCTACTTTCAGATATAAATTCATTTCGAAACTTTTCATAAACAAAATTACAACATAGAAGTTGAGTTTCATCAGATAGTCTAAAATAAATAAAACATAAAACAAATTAATTAACAATTAGGTATACATAGGTATAAGAATTATATTAAGTTTTAAAATTTTTTATTTAAATATTGTAGAATACATTAGGTGTTATTAAAAATCTTTAGGTTTTATGATTTATTTGATAAAATTAAAAATTAGGGACCAAAATTGTGACATGTAAAATAATAAAATGTTGTTTTATATAAGTTTAAGCAAACCTTAATAATTCCAAGTCTACATTTTAGACAAAACAGTAAGTGGTTCAATAGACTAACTTAATTTTTATGGTTTAATAGTTTTTAGCTCCTAAATTATATAATTTATTTTTCCAGTGACAAATTGAGTATATTCAAAAACTTATTATTAAAATTACCTTTTAAAAAAATAATTCAAACAATTTTCTACTCGTTCAATAATTACATGGTTGGGATCTTTAATACACCATTCAACTATCATTTCAAATAATAAATATGAAGAACTTAACTCCATAGCAGTTATGATTTTTTGAAAAGTAGTTACAAGATTAGTAAGATCTATACTATGTGGTTTTAATTTTGACGAGGTTTCAGAAAAATGTTTATCTCTGAAATCAATTAGACATTTTCTAAAAAAAAAAAAAAACAAAATTACTAACTATGTATTTACTTTTACCAAATAGATAATTCATGGTATGAATTAAAAATAAAATTATACTACCTAACAGTATAATCAAGGGGCTCTTTATATTTTTGACTTGAAACTAATTTTGGTAATAATCCAAGAAGTCGGGATTTATGATAAATATTCAAATTGTTATTAGTCAAATTATCACAAATCCATTCCTGGAAAAATGTCATGCTTTCATTTCTAAATGTATCAGTTAAGTTTGATGATAATTCTACAAATTCAAATATTTCATTCCAAGAAAATATATTTTTAAACTGATCCCAGAATTTTTCACTATTCATGATTTTTTCAATTAGTAACTTTCCTTGGCCATCTCTAAAAATAATATACATAATAATTAATTGTAATAATTAAAAATGAGTATAATGTATAGCTTACTTATTTTTATTATTCAATGTTTTAAGAACTTCTAATATCACATAAAATGTCTGATCATTTAATGGGTATTCAGTAAGCAGTTTTGTAAAAGAAATGTCAGGATTTTTTAAAAAATACTTAGTAATTGGTTTACTAAATAAACTAAAGAAATACAGACCAAATACTTTTTGTTTGTATTTATTGGATTCAATAATATAATTTTTATCCATGATTAATAATGTTATTATATCATTCTAAAATGATGAAAATAAATATATAAGAATCATTACAATTTATAATTAAATAAATTTTTTTAAATGCATACCGTATAGTCAAGGTTTATTAAAAATGCTATCAAATTTTCCAGGTATGACAATCTAACTGACTCAAAATCTACGATTGCTCCATCATTGTACACATATTTAAATAAATTTTCAAGAATATGTTTTCGATTTACAACTTTTTCAAGATCCTATAAATATATATTGTAAATAAAAAAAATATATAACTTTAAAATAAAAGTTCAAGTCACTTTATATATGTTGCAATATAAATGAGTTACTTTACCACAATTGAAAGTATATTGCATTCAAGGATTAATTGATTTGCAGAAACAAAATTTTTTTTTATTGTATATTCATTTAGTGTATTAAAATTGAAGACAACTTCAGACCAATTTTTTGAAAGATGTTTTTTCAATTTGTTGTTAAATTTATTTGAAATAGAAGTTATTTTAGTGTATTGAACTATTTCTGATTTATGGAAACTTAATTTTTCATCAGAGTAGACCATTTCACAATCAAAGAGACATCTAAAAAAAAATAACAGAATTGATTAATTAGTAGGTCCTGAAGACATTATACTAATATAATGGAATTGTACATAATAGCAGCATTGCAAGAATCATGTATATTTTTTTAAAGTATTTTATCCAATTTTGATAGACAGGCACAAGTGGCTGTATATGTTTGTTTGTTATAATTTTATTGATTTCTCAGATTACAACACTTTTATGTTGCTAATATAAGTAGGGCCAGTCTGTTAGTTAAAAATCTATGCAAGCAAGCCTTAGTTGTAGTAAAAATAAAATTAATTTACTTGATAGCAAGATCGTAAATTTTCTCCTGATTTGCCTCATCTAATAATTCACATACTAAATTGTTATCAAATACATTTATGAATTGAAAGATACCAACTATAACAAGATTTTTTAAAGTGATAAAATGTCTGGATTGAATAATAATATCTTTGTCACTTTCTTTGAATGATATATTCAAATAAGTTAACCATTCCATTAAACTGAACTCTTCTATATGAAATAAAAACTGATGAATAGACTGAAACAAACTATTTATTTTTATACATTAAGAACTTTTTATAATGGTTTACTAAAACAATAATTAATAAGTTCTAACATTGGAGATCATTTTAGGTACTTATGTTAAATAACCATTAACTCTCACCAAGAACAGGGAGTTTTCAGTAGTTTAATATCCACCATGTTTCCAGTGAAAAGTGATGTATAACAATCTAAAGTAGCAATAAGTTGATTCAACCAATGTATTAATATGCTTACGTTCTTCAAAACTTTAAATGAATTTAAATCTCGTTCAATACAGTTAATTAATTCTTTTTCTCCATGTGATATTATAAATGAATTTAATATACTTTTTAATGAATAGTGATCTGTAATTGAATATTTAATTTATTTATAAAAATATCATAGAAACATTTATTGAAAAATTTAACAGTTATTTAGTGGTCCAATATATTATTAGAATTACACAATTTTATCTTCTATTTAAAAAAAAAATATAAAATTTAAAATTATAAGTGGCCTGTTATCATGGTATATATAAACTTAATAAATTTCTGAACTAATATTGTCTGTCTGCACATAATGACAAAACAAATTATTGACTTAGTTTTTAGATTTGATGAAGTGTGAGCAATAGTTATTTTTATTATTAGTACTAGGCTTAGAATGTTTATAGCCTAAAAAACTCGAAAATGCATACAAATGTCAGAAAAATATCAAAATATGATTTTAAATTAATTAAATATGACATTAATAAATATGTTAAATTTTTTTCAATTGTTTTAAAATATTTGTAAAAATATGAAAAAAAAGATTTAGAATTTTAATTATAAAAATTTTAATCAAAATTCAAATGTGCAAAAATTTGCAAAATTCATAAACAAAACATCCTAACCCTATTCATCACACATAGAAAACCTTTTTAAGCCAAGTCTAGCTAATTGTTAACTATATACTTATATTGTATTGGTTAGAGAAATTCATCTGAATGAACAATAACGTTAATTTATATTCAAATTTTAATTTATAATTGTAAAGTTGCATAAAAGTATTCTATAGGCTAAATGCAACCTTTTTTTCTTTTTTTTATTAAAAAAGAATATTTACAATCTGTAACATAAGTAAAATAAGCAAGTAAGATTTCTTTTTTTTTTTACAAAATATTTACATGATGATAAAATATGAGGAGGGAGGCTGTCCAGTGACAGAACCGAACCCTCATATGTCAAAGGTGTCAGGGGTAGGTACACCAATGCCTTTTTAACCGGCGGGTGGGATTATTAGGTAGGTTTGCTCCGCCCTGATTGGCTATAAGGGGGTTGTTGTGGGTGGTAAGTTTGGAGTGGAATTTTTTGTAGTAGTTGGATGCAACTGTGGTAACGGTTTCAATGTTGAGGTCGTTGTGAAGTGAATTGATAGAAACATACCAGGGTGCAGAAGTTAGTAAACGTAGAGTAATTGATTGAAATGCTTGTATTGTATTTGTTTGGGATGGTTTAGCACAGTCCCATATCTGTATTCCATAAGCCCAGATGGGTCTTAACATCAACTTATAGTTATTTTATTGTTGAGGGAAAGATTTGATTTGAGGATAGGTCAGAGGGGTTGTAATCTACAGCAAAGCTTTTTTCTTGTTTCCTTTAAGTGAGGACCCCAGGTGAAATGTTTATCTAGGATCAGACCCAGATATTTAATTTGGGATTGCCTTTTTTTTAAAGTTAAGGACAGGAGATATTTTTCTTCTTAAAGTGAAAGGAATTTGGAAGGACTTTTCGACATTAATTTTGATTTTCCAATTGGATGCCCATTTTTCTATTTTTATAAAATGCGATTGGAGATTAGAGGCTACTATAATGTTGTAACTATGGTCGCTTAAAATTTCTGTGTCATCAGCACATGTAGCAATAAGGATGTTATCAGTGCTTAGTTGCTAAGCCTTAGTATATCGGCAGAGAAAATGTTGTAAAGGTCTGGGGACAGATCACTCCCTTGAGAGACTCCTGCATGAATTTATAAGTAGGAAGAGAACGCATTACCTTGTCTAACAACAAATGAACGGTTAGAAAGGTATGATTTAATTATTAAATAAAGAGGTGCCGATAGAATTTTTTTATTTTAAAAAGTAGACCTTGATGCCAAATATGGCAATATTCGGTCAAATGCTTGGGATACGTCAAGGAAGACGCCAGGGCAGTATTTTTTTCCCTCGAATGAGGAAGATGTTTTATTGATAATCCTATGAATTTGTTGGGTGGTAAAATGTTTGGATCTAAAGCCGAATTGAGTGTCAGGAATTCTTTTTTGGGTTTAGGTGACCAATTGGATTCTGAGGAGCAATATTTTTTCAAACAATTTAGCTAACACCATTAGTAAACAGATAGGTCAATATAAAGATGCCTTATTTTTGAGTTTGTTAGGTTTATGTATGAGAATTATTGTAGAAAACTTCCAGATACGTAGGAAATATGATAATCTTAGCATTAAGTTATATAAATGAAAAGTATTATGGATTTATAAGGGAGAAATTTTAGCATTTGAATGGTGATTAAATTGTAACCAGCTGATTCTTTGTCCTTTAGTTTAAGTTTTAAGTATACAATTTTTTATTTCTCTAGGCGATGTGTGTTTCACGGGAAGTGACATTGTTAATGGGATGTCTAAAAAATTTTCAATTTTGTTTAGCTTGTTTGGGTTGGGAGGTATATTAGAATGTGGTGTAAATATGTTTGAAATTTGAATACCAAAAACGTTTGCTTTATAAAATATTTTATTTTCTAAAAAACTTCAAAATAAAATTGCAAAAATATAATGTCTCTTATTTTTAAAGATTAAAAACATATAAGTAGAGTTTTTATTCTTATTACCTTTTACATTCCTAGAGAGGTTAATTGCTAGATCAAAGCACTTTGATCTACAATTGATCGTTGGTGATCCAATATATTTCAAAAGCCATTCAACTACATCAAATAATTGAGTTCCAAGAAATGGTTTTGGTGTAATTCGTGAAATACAGACCTATATTTAGTTAAAATAACTTAAATAAATACATAATATTATATTTTAATTTAATATTACTTCATTAAATAAGTTTGATTTTTCCAAGAATACTCTTTGTAGATGATCTATAGATTTTAAAACATGTTGTTCTGAAATTGTTGATTTGTTTGAATCAAGTATAACAACAAAATAATATAATAATTGAATCCATAATTCATTAATAACAGTTTCATCTTCTCGAAGTAAAGAGTAGCAGGAATTAAAAGCAATAGCAGCTCCTAAATATATATATAATATACATTAGAGTTAAATAGAATAATTGATTTATTGATCAGATTTCAATAAAAGCAAAAAAAATATAGATTTACAATAATGTGGTTGTATAATTTCACTATTAAATTTAAAGCTATCGTATTCAAATAATCTTTTAAATGTATTTTTATATAATTTATAATTTTTTGTAAAAGAAAAAAATTTAACTTTAAATACAAAATATTTTAATTTTTAATTATAAGTAATCAAAACTACAAATGAAATAGATTTAAATTAAGCATAGATGTATTAATAACATAGGTACTTTAAGTTTCATTATAAATAATATTTACCTAGCTGCTTATTTGGATCAGAATGCAAACAAAAGGATATAATTTTTTTTATAACGATGCGTAAACTAATTGAAAGTTTTTGAGATAAATTGTCTTCTTTTAATGTCCAGCGTAAAAATTCCATAATACATTTCGAAGAAAAATCCCTAACTGCTTCATTGCTATTTTCTGATATACTATCCTGCAAATATATAAAAAAAAGTACAGAATAGATAATATATTTTTTTTTTTTGAACTAGTCGGTCATGGATATTATTATATAAATTATGTTGTAAAAAGTAATCCATGAATACAATT